ATATATATATATTTGTTCTAAAAACCTGTAAAACATTTAAAGCTGAAGATCTGTTTTTCTGCATCCACATCCCTGACATTCAGGAGCAACCCAAACTATGGGCTCGACGCGCGTGGATCCTCTTTTGTAATACAGCATCGGTTAATAAGCGATGGATTTTTATTGGCCGAGCCTGTTGGAGACAGAGGAAGGCGCACTGGCTGCCAAATCAGTGTTTTCACAGCCTGAATCACAGCTTACCATTGATGCTAGCCCAGGGAGGAGCACACAAATACACACACARGCACACACACACAAAAAAACTAATTACACAAAGTGCTGAAGGAGAGACACATGTGAACATACATGCAAAAAAAAAAAAACACATTACAGTCACAGAAAATGCTTTTATTTTGCCATATAAAGATTCTGTACAGTGCATGTACATTACCGTAAATTACACACTGATTTACTAAGTTGTATACGTAACTCTTAACTKTAAACTCTTAACCCTGACCTGGACACGATCCCAACAATTAAACAGATTTACAAATCTAATAGAGGCTATAAAAAAAAACGTGCACTAAAACGCTACAGAAATCAAAGAAATTCAGACACCTGCATTTTTTTTTTTACCTCTCCCTGCTCTGAGAAGTCTCATTCTCCAACACAGAAACACACACACAGACACACAAACATAAACACACACAGACACACAAACACTTGCACACAGCAAGCTGTTCACCACCGAGTGGAGAGGAAACAACAGTCACCATTAGAGGGCCTTCTTTTTCGGAGCAAAATATCTCCCCCCCTCTCTCCCTCCCTCTCTGTCTTATCCTCCCTGTCTCTGTCTACCCCTCTACACACACACACACACACACACACACACACACACACACACACACACACACACAGACTCAAATACATGAACAACAGCAGTCCTTTGTCTCTGCTATAACAAGCCTATCAGACTCTGCTTGAATAGCCTGAGGCTGGAGCAGCTTGAAGTTCTCTCATTCTCTCCTGAATACAAACCTCACCATTCAATAGCTTAAGCACAAGGATGCCGAACTGGTTTCAATGATATGAGTGCAACACAACCTAAGTACATTTGTACACAGGTGTAAATAACCTGTTTTAGACTGAGCTCATWTGAGTTTCTCTCAAAAACCTCTCAAAACAAAAGCTGCTGAAATCACTCCTGTTCACACTTTGACTGCGCTGAATCAGATATTCATTACCAATTAGCCAGACTTGACTGAAGTGAGGCAGTTGACAAGAGACCCCTTAGCTCCTCACGGCGCTGTATAAAGGAATGATAAACAGGAGACTTTGTCTCAGTTTCATCTCCTCTTCTGAGCTGTTCAAAATAGTTTCACAGCYAACAGATTTAAAATTCAGTGCAATCTGCTGGCTTCCTTAGATAGATACTGTAACTTATACTAACAGGTATTTTATCATGTAAGTGAACACCCTGAAATGACTTTTGTTGTGAAATGATGCTGTTTATACTGAAGTAAATTGAACTGAGTTAATATATGGAATGTGTACAGTACTTGTGATAGATGCTCAATAAGACTGCATGTAGTTTATACCATGTTCATGTTGACAGCCTTTTGTGTTATATTATATGTAAATGATTTGTTAAATATGTCAGGACTTTTTAAATATGTATTATTTGCTGATGATACAACATTTTATTTTTGGAAAAAGATTTAGAACGGCTGTTGGAAACGATGCAGACAGAATTTATTAAACTACAAACTTGGTTAAAACTAAATAAATTATCATTAAATTTGGATAAACCCAACTATATGATATTCAGTAATAGAAAGGGAATAATTTATGTTCCATTTAGAGTTGATGG